ATGTCCAATACATGTAATGTCCAATACAGTTTTTCACCGTATATAGTAGGGGAATTTACCGTTAACCATTTAACAGATTTTTACTGTAGCATTTTTACAGTCTTTTACCGTTAAATTCACGGTCATTTTTTACAGTGTAGGAACAGGTACTTTAGTTGAAGTTTTACATAAATGTCAGAGCATGTCAAAACTTTTCCAGGGCCCCAAAACACCCTCGGACCCCAGAGGGTTAAAGTTCATTTTTGGGTGGGTTTAGATCATCTGAGGAACTCCGAATGTAATATCAAGAGCATTTTTTAATTTCAAAAGAGTCCAGGACAGACAAAAAGTGGGTAGCTTCATTTTTTTTTCTACAACGTAATGCTTTAAAACAAGTGACACTGATGTGGAGATCCCAAAATATACTGGATCTCCCATGGCTCTTGTTAAATTCCTCTCATGTGTATATTTCCGAGACCTTTCTGGAGTTGCTCACCTCACTTTGACGCAAACGACTCATCTGCATTCACGTCCGCTCGCTTGTAGACGGAACTTCGTAAAACCTGCGTCGAAGTAGCCAATCATAACATCACCTGTCTGCAGTCTAGTCTGCATGCTGATCAGCGCACGCCCATACAGTCACGGACTGCCCAATTAACGACCATTTCAACTTTACTTCCTCTGGCAATGTGAGCAAAATATTAAAGAGGAGTGCTATTCGTCATTGTGCCTTTTAAAGCAATCTGACTAATACATGTATTCGTTTTATCGATTTTAAGCGTCGGAAGGGACCTGTCGCCTCCCTGCTGCTTCGCTATAAAGCCGCGAGCGCGAGTCAGTCCTGTCACGGGAGACGCAGTGAAGAGCTGAGTTATATGTGGAGGAACCCGCTCGCGCACAGCTGACACAACACCGTACAGCATACTCCAACGTTTAGCTTGCGTGTTATACTTTCAAGTGCTTTGGGAAAAGAAAAGGAAAGTTACTGGGTGCAACATGAAATTTCTTTTACCGTCTCTAGTGATTTTTTTTGTTTTGTGCCAAGTTTTTGGAGAAGAATTGGGTCCAAAAGAAGACCTTGATTATTGGACAGGCAGCAATCAGATACAGGTGAGCATTTCTTCTTTTACTATTATCTAAACATGCCTTTCAGACCAAACCTATTTTAACACATTCTAGTTAGTTTTTGAGTAATTTTTCTAGTTTTAGGGCTGTTTTTCAGGACCTTTCGTTATACATATGGCAAAATAAAATACAATTTAAAAATGCATATTTTTATCAAGTAGTCTCATTACATTGACTATATTTAGTATCTATTTATAATCGTGTGTGTATATATATATATATATATATATATATATATATATATATATATATATATAGTGATAATGTTAGTTATAGGCTACTTCATATAAAGTTAATTATATTTAATTATGCTACTTTTTATTGTTATATCTCAGCTGCATAGAGTTTATAATAGAAAAGTAACAAATTACAAAAAAGTGAATTTTTTTTATCAAGTAGTCTCATTACATTGACTATTTAGTATATATTCATAATTGTGTGTGTGTATATATATATATATATTGTGATAATGTTAGTTATAGGCTATTTCATATAAAGTTAATTATGCTACTTTTTATTATTATGTCTCCGCTTCATAGAGTTTATAATTGAAAAGTAACAAATTACAAAAAAGTGCATTTTTTTTTTATCAAGTAGTCTCATTACATTGACTATTTAGTATATATTCATACCATGACCAGATCTTCTAATGCAATAGCTTCAGCATTTGTTGCACATTAAACCCAAATGAACTGAAAACACCTTAAACCGTTAAGTATAGGAAGTTAGTTTCTTTAACCATTCAAGCTACATACTATCTTTACTGTAATTCATATTTCATTCTTTAAGCCACTTTAAAGTGATGGTGCACCAAAGAAAATACAAATATAAAGTGTAAAAAAATTATAAAATTAATTCATTTTGTAACCCTCAATTTTAGTTTCATGTCTTAACGCTAACCCACCATTTAACCGTACTTTAACCAGTTCCATTCATTCAACTTTGAGGCTGATTCTCTGAAACTCATTTTGGATATAAATATAACTTCTTAAAAGCATTTCAACTACCCAACCAATTGCTAACGTCAATTAGCTGACTATAGACACAAAAATACAGTCATTAAAGTGGAAATCCCAATGAAGGAACCTGGGAACGTGCATAGCTCAAGAACACAGTGATATTAGTTCATGGACAGCCAAGTCTGACCCTACAACATTTCAGTTTCCTGTCCAGAATATTACAAAAACATAGAAACTTAAATTTATTACTGGACCCAAAAATACATATACACAACCGTTTATAAGTTTGGGGTCAATAAGGTTATTTTCTTTTTTTAAATAAACACAGTAACGACTTTAACATTGTTACTTTTCACATTTCAAATAAATGCTGTTCTTTTGAACAATCTACTCGTCAAAGACTCTAAAAAAAATATGAATCGGCATATTTGAATGATTTCTGAAGGATCATGTGACACTGAAGACTGGAGTAATGGTGCTTCAGCTTTACATCACAGGAACATTTTAGATTTTAAAATATATTAAAATAAGCCATTTAAATTGTAATAATATTTAACAATATTACTGTTTTTACTGTATTTTTGATCAAATAAATGCAGCCTTGGTGAACAAGAGACTTTTTTCAAAAACATAAAAAAAACAACCTTTGATTGGTAGTGTATATATTACTTGTTATTAATGTAAAATGAGAAATTAATATGTAAGTGTAAGAAGCTTTCTGTACCTTTGACTTGAATTTATTTTGTTTAATTAATATTAAGTTATCATAGTTTTACTAAAGCAACAAAACTATTTTAGAAGAAACAATGGTTACTTTGCCATTTTTAAGTTGATTTCAATTTTTTATTCAGGTCAGAAATAAAAAAAATCTTATTTTAGATTGTGGTAATATGGCCGAGTCGCACCTGTGTCAGTTTATTTACGTCATTTAGAAAGGATCAGACGTTTTAATACGGCGATCAAACGTGTTTCTGTCACAACATCTCTCCTGGTGTTGTGGAGCATTAAAGCAAAGTGGTGTCCTTTCTAAGGTACTCAGAGATTTGTGCTGACAGTGTCAATACATAGTGCCTCATAGTGTTTTCACCATGACTGAAGATGTTGTATAATAGCGCCAGTCCGGGTGTGATGTCCTGTCACTGCTACGAGCAAAGCTTTTGCTATCTTGATATCTCTGTGTGATTGTAGCTTGATATTAAAAATATTTTCTTTATTGGTGGAACTTTTAATTCCTTGTTGTATCGTGGTGTATGGCGCTCTCACAGTGACGCACTCACTCCACGTACAGGCCATCAGGAGTATTTCAACCAGCAACAAGTATCCTTTCGAAGCAGGCTTATCGAAATGAATGAATAAAACACACATCACGACTGCTGTTTTAATGAAAGGCTTTATCAATACCATGACCAGATCTTCTAATGCAATAGCTTCAGCATTTGTTGCACATTAAACCCAAATGAACTGAAAACACCTTAAACCGTTAAGTATAGGAAGTTAGTTTCTTTAACCATTCAAGCTACATACTATCTTTACTGTAATTCATATTTCATTCTTTAAGCCACTTTAAAGTGATGGTGCACCAAAGAAAATACAAATATAAAGTGTAAAAAAATTATAAAATTAATTCATTTTGTAACCCTCAATTTTAGTTTCATGTCTTAACGCTAACCCACCATTTAACCGTACTTTAACCAGTTCCATTCATTCAACTTTGAGGCTGATTCTCTGAAACTCATTTTGGATATAAATATAACTTCTTAAAAGCATTTCAACTACCCAACCAATTGCTAACGTCAATTAGCTGACTATAGACACAAAAATACAGTCATTAAAGTGGAAATCCCAATGAAGGAACCTGGGAACGTGCATAGCTCAAGAACACAGTGATATTAGTTCATGGACAGCCAAGTCTGACCCTACAACATTTCAGTTTCCTGTCCAGAATATTACAAAAACATAGAAACTTAAATTTATTACTGGACCCAAAAATACATATACACAACCGTTTATAAGTTTGGGGTCAATAAGGTTATTTTCTTTTTTTAAATAAACACAGTAACGACTTTAACATTGTTACTTTTCACATTTCAAATAAATGCTGAAGACTGGAGTAATGGTGCTTCAGCTTTACATCACAGGAACATTTTAGATTTTAAAATATATTAAAATAAGCCATTTAAATTGTAATAATATTTAACAATATTACTGTTTTTACTGTATTTTTGATCAAATAAATGCAGCCTTGGTGAACAAGAGACTTTTTTCAAAAACATAAAAAAAACAACCTTTGATTGGTAGTGTATATATTACTTGTTATTAATGTAAAATGAGAAATTAATATGTAAGTGTAAGAAGCTTTCTGTACCTTTGACTTGAATTTATTTTGTTTAATTAATATTAAGTTATCATAGTTTTACTAAAGCAACAAAACTATTTTAGAAGAAACAATGGTTACTTTGCCATTTTTAAGGGATTCCTTTAACCTACAAACTACACAAATTGACTTGCTTTGGTTTGTTTAGTTATACATTTAAGCTCCATAAAAAGAAGAAGAAGAAAAAAGAAGAATATATGAGTATAATGGAGGCCTCCATTTATATCTTTTGAAATATATTGCATCAGCTGAAGATACACAATTCTCTTTAGGGAAGACTAAACAAATCAACCTAAAAAAAACTTTAGTAAACTGAACAGAGAAAGGTGAGGCAAAAAATATATTATGGTAATGTTTGAACTGGCACGTATGTATGCAGTAGTGAATGTATGGTCTAGGCAAGGTCTGAAGCTTGATGTGGTCTGGTTAATGTGATAACTGGTCTTTATCTGGCTTGTAAATGGACAGGGTTCTGGCCGAGGGGTCAGTGGCCTTGATCCAGCGGGGCATCCAGTAATGTGGTGTCCACTCACAGCGGTCGGGGTAATGCTTCTCAAAGATCTGCCTTATCAAGCCCTCTTTGGTTGTGGGTGGATTGAAAGAGAACTGCGTATTGGCCTTCTCCAACTGAGAGTCATTCACCTGAATGAGAAAAGAAAAATTAAAGGACGAGATGACAGGGAAGAGGCTTTAAAATCACTGTGTCATGTGCAAGTGTAGCACCTCAGACTCGATGTACTCCTGCAGGCTGGTGTACCAGGATTTCTTCATGGATGTCATACCGTCACTGAAGGCCTCCTTTCTCCTCCAGAGAATCTCATCTGGGATGAGTTTCAACCCTTTAAATGCTTCCCTCAAGAGATGCTTCTCCACACCATCCTGCTTCAATCAAACAGGTTATTCAATCTGGTTACAGAAACCACTCAGGTGAATTTAGAAAAAGAAAGTGAAAATACAAGGTACACCATAACTATTGCTCATATTAATCCCTACAGTATAAAGCCTACTGCATCATATCGGATACACACATTTCACATAAGGCCTCTAACATATTAATGACCAAAACCAGTTGTACACAATCTAATACATGCCTTCTGTCAACTGATCAATAGTTTGTTTGTTTTTTAGCAAGCAAAAGGCCTTTTAGTATAATTTAAAAAAAATCCAACTTCAGGTTGTGGATTCCATGTCTTTTTACTCTAAAATTATTTTTATAAACTAAAAGAATAACTTTCATAATTTTATTATTTCAAGATGAACACTTACTGGACTGAAGCAACTTGTCAAATTTTTTTTTCTTTTTTTCTTTTTTAGAAAAATCATGTTAAGATGAGAGTTTCAAATATGATCTATCAGGCTTCTGAGCAACATTTATTTATTCATCTTTGATTTATCATAATTGTAATGCATTGCACTATATGTTTTTCCACCACAATAAAAACTACAGTGCTTTGATCGTAAAACTAAGCATTTAAATATTATCTCATAGATATAGAGTGACAACTGATATTTATATGATTTTATGCAAATAGTCTGTTATAGTATTCTAAAGATCTCATTTGATTTACATTTACATTATAAGCTATCAGAATTTCATCTTATTTTTATGGTCATATAATAAAAGCAACTGCACCAAACTGCATATTTTGTTCAGTTTGGGCCACTGAATAAAACTGAAGTGTTTTTTTCTGAGTATGAACTCTATATTCTCACTACATCATACTATATGAGCCATAAAAGCCTGAGGTATCACAGAGAGATCCCAAGAGGGAACAAGGCGTGATCTGGGAGGATTTATTCTCCTCGCGTCTCTCAGGAACCTGGCGGTCAGGTCGTGCTTCCTCAAGGATCTTCTATCCACTGCATTGTGATGCGCCGCAACGGCAGAGACATATACTTTCAAAGTGGAGGGGCACAGCCTCTGCTTCAACTTTTCTTGCTGGAAGGAAAGCACAATGCTGACCAGACATCTCTGGGGGTCCTCTTGGCGAGAGGAACACCAGTCAAATACAGGTTCAGCCAGAGATGGTGCTCCTGAACTACCATGGTAGACATCACCTGCCTGAGGGACTGTGACGTGACCTTCATTTTTAAGCTCCTTAACCTGGTGTACTTGCAGGATGGTCATGGCATGCAGGGCAGAGGCGGCCTGGCCCGCAGCACTGTAAGCCTTGGCAGCCAGGGCTGACGACAGCTTATAGGCTTTGGACAGAAGGTGCGGATGGTTCCTCCAGGTGGTGGCGTTTTGCGGGCATAGGTGTACCACACCCGCACGCTACACCTGGGGAACGTTGACGTACCCCTTGGCCACCCCACCATCGAAGGTAGTGAGGAGGGAAGAGCTGGGGACTGCTCAGCCCCTCCTCTGATGCTGCGAAAGACATATTATCCTCCTCAGGAGCCCCGAATGAGACACTGGGTCCACCACAGACCAACCGCCGTCATCATCCGTGAGTTTGACGGTGCTACGCTGTGAGGAGCAGGACTTTCATGGGGGCTGGTCCAGCAGAGCATTCCTGACCGTAATCCTCAGGTCTCCCTTGTCCCTAACCAATGCAGCCTCGAGATATTTATGACCAGAGGAACCGGAATAGGTAGAGCTTGAGGGAAGCCTCATAATGAATTAGAGCCACAACCTCAGCATAGCCATGGACATGTGCTCGCAATGCGGGCATGAACCATCCACCAAAGCTGTCTCAGCATGCTTGCGGCACACACTGCTGTATGCACTGTATAAAGCAGGTGAGAATCTCCTGCAGAGTGAAGGCTTCTTCATTTCTTCATAACATTTCTTTTGAAAGAGAGAAAGAGCTCACAAATCATTCGGCTCTGAGGCAAAAATCTGAATGAGTGGATGCACGCTGCCATCTTATATACCCATATGTACGGGGAGTGTCTTGACATGCAAATTCCACTTGCCAATTGACATTGGTTGTTTCTTGTAATGCTCAGAGGTGATTGGGGCTCCCAAGTGAGACCCCTGATGTCAGTGTCGATGTAATGTTGAACGTGACTGACTGAAAGGGAACCCACCTTAGGCACTCTCATCTCTTCAAGCAGAGAGAGGTAGTATGCGGTGAACCTATGGTCCAGGAAAGGCACTCTCAACTCCAGTCTAATGAAGACAATAAATAAAAAATTTTGCAGTGACAAATACTGTGAAAAATGACCAATCACTAATTTTCTGTGGAAAGAGAAAGGAAGGGACATGTAGTCTTACCCATGTGCAGCTGTGGTTCTGTCCATTTACCACATCTTCAAACAGGATCCTAATGTTGCTCTTGACCGTCTCCAGTTCAAAGCCTGATGAAAAGAAAGAAATTCATTCTCTTTAGTTTAGACTGACGGTACAGTAAACGGTGGTTCCATTTTCCCCATTCATCTACTCCACAGATATTAATAATAATGACGTTGATGATAATAAAAATAAAGCTGAATAACATTTAAACCACAATATCAGACAAAGGCCTTGTGTGTTCATTAGACAATTAGCAATGATGGTAATGAATCATTCTTTTGGATCTTTTCAAGAATCAGATTATTCAGTTCACAAAACCTGATTCAATTCAGTCCAGCAGCTAACAACCTTCCTCAGGGGAAGTCAAGTTGAGATTTGCTATATAGTGTATATCGCCCTATGTGAGTATACTGTATGCAGAGGAATAAAGTTGGACCTACTTATACTGTATATCAAACTTCATATAAAGAGCTGGGTGATGATATAGTTACATTTTGTGACAAAATAAAACCAGGCAGTTAAGATTTGCCATACAGTATATAAATTTGCCATACATGCAGATACATTTGGATACAATTTTATTTTGTCACAAAATGTAACTACATAATCACCCCACTCTTTTTTTCAATCCATGTGTCATACAGAGCTATCAGACTGCTTAAAACACAACAAAGTAGAATGAACTACTTTTATGATGCTGAATATGACATCTACCTGTGCCAAGACCCTCCAGGTTGTTATAGGCGGCGTGTTTGGGTTCTTCTGTGCAGCAGTGGAAGCGATCCATCTGAACAGACTCCACTTTTCCAGTGAGCTTCAAGTCAAACACTTCAAAGTGTCCCGGTGGGAAGGGAGTGATCTTTGCAGGAGTGGACATGGAGGTTTTGAGGTCTAGCAAACCTGTTCAGAATAAATCAAAGTTAAAACATAATGCTGTTAAAATCATAGGCTGTAATTTTGGGTATTCAAAGTGTGCAAAAACTCCAGTTAGTTTTGCATGAGTCATTATACCTTTGGCCTCAGAACAGACAGCTAGAAAGCCGTCGTCGGTGAGCAGTCTGAACAGTGGTCTCACGCCGTACGTGTCCCTGCCTATGAAAACCTTCCTGTTAGCCGTGTCCAACAAGATGAAGGCGAATACGCCATTGAGCATGGAGGCCATCTTCTTGATTCCAAAGCGATCGTACAGGTGCAGAAGGATCTCGCCGTCGACTTTAGTCTGATGCTCAAACTCAAACTGATTCTTCAGCTATAAAGATAAGATTGATCAACAGATGTTACGTTAAACCATGAAGGGATATAAGACATATCAGATATCAGCAGTGCTGGGTAGTAATTGATTATATGTAATCTGGATTACTTCAGGTTTCAAAAATGAAATACTTGTAATTCAATTTTATTACATTTTTGAAATAATCGGTTATATGTTAATATAAGTTACTTTTGGTTATATGATTACTTAAAGGCACAATATGTAATTTTCGCCGCTAGAGGGCGCATATTCAAAATAAACAGAGACAAAAGCGTAGTTTGATGACCTGAGTGTGGAATCATGGGAGTTGTGGTCTTCATCCCCACAGCCGATGAAATCTGACGGGACTCGGGCAGAAATCATGTTCACGGATGAGCTAATGATTTATTAACGTAGTAGAATGAAGCAGAGTGGGGCTGAAAGCCGTCAAAGCGAAACGAGGCTCGAAACACACGGCTCGAAAGCAGCGGAGCTTTTATTATGCCACAGTCGACCGCTTCCGCTTCTTCCGGTCGTGCGTATGTGGGGTAAAGCAGCGGAGCTTTTATTATGCCACAGTCGAGCGCTTCCGCTGCTTCCGGTCGTGCGTATGTGGGGTAAAGCAGCGCTGTTTTATCATACTAGATACATTTGAAAGTTCTGTTATAATGCTACTCTGTGCGGTCGTCACTGGTCTATTAAAACACTCAACATATTAAAGCGTCTTTGGTGTTTCCATGATTTCTACAAAACAAAACCGGAAATCGAGGGGTTATGACGTCATTGGCAGGCGACACAATTACACTATAGACACGCTCCATGTCACTAGTTAAAATTGCTTATTTCTCTGGATTTAAACATTATTTGAAACATTTGGGATAGTGTAAGTACACAAGTCAGCAAAATATATAACGCTGTTCTAGTGGGTTTTGGATATTTTAATAAAAAAAATATTACATATTGTGCCTTTAAACTGTCAGGAAATTATTCATAGATTCATCTGTCTTTTAAATGTTCCTTTCTAAAATGGCCTATTTCTTATTTATGTTCAGAAAGTCTTCAAGAGTTGTGCAATTGCACACATAGACTTGCCACTCAGGCGGCTGTAATTATACGGAAAAGTACAAGGCCACACAGCATAAATACATATTGTGCCTTTAAACTGTCAGGAAATTATTCATAGATTCATCCGTCTTTTAAATGTTCCTTTCTAAAATGGCCTATTTCTTATTTATGTTCAGAAAGTCTTCAAGAGTTGTGCAATTGCACACATAGACTTGCCACTCAGGCGGCTGTAATTATACGGAAAAGTACAAGGCCACACAGCATAAATAAAAAAGTATTTCATCTTTTTTAGTAATTGCTTTATGTTGACTGCTATTTTTTTTTTTACTTTAACAGTTTTAAGATTCCATTCTTTTTTTCTCTTTGTATTTTATATCAGTATGGCACAATGTATATCTATTCAAATCAATGTGATAAATGAGTTAGGTCAAAAGTAATGTAAAAGTAATCAAAAAGTACTCAGAGTACATTACCTAAAAATAACAGATTACATGACTACAATTTTCATCATGTAATTTGCGTTCAGCAATGGGCTCCATTTTGTAAAAAATCTACCAAGCACTGAATATCAGGCACATAAGTGGAAGAAACGTTTATGAATGGATATAATCAGAATGAAAAATGGTGCTAAAACATCAAAAACATTCAGCTACCTACCCTGATGTGGTTGTAGATCTCTCCGTTGTAACATAACCAAAGATAAGGGAACTTCTTGACTCGCAGAGGCTGCATGCCATACAGCTGGTCCACGATAGCGAGGCGGTGAAACCCGAAGCAGCAGTTGGTGAAACCGTTGACATTCTCAAAGCGGAAAGCGTCTGGACCGCGATGAGCGATTTTCATGGCATTAGTGCACTGAACAGCAAGGCACTCATCACTACCAAACAAGGCCCATATACCACACATTCTGATGCTGCAAATTAGTAAGAACATAAAATGTATTACCAAAGTAATCATGTACAAATGTTTTCACACATGAAGTCAAGACCACGGTTTTTGGATATGTGCCATGGAAGTACTAACAATATTCTTTGATTTCATTGTTTGTTTTGAGCAAAAAAAACTGATGTTCATTAGACGAGAGCCTCAAAATAAGTCATTGCGGCTCCTGTCTGGAAGTGCACGCTTCACTGGGAGCAACACAAACAATGTGTGAAAGTCAGGTTTCTGAAGTAAAAATAGGCCATTCATTGTCTCCACAGGGGAAATGATTTTTAATGAAACCTTATAAACCCGACAGAGCTGCTGAGAGCAGAGGTTGTTAATCGATGGTATGTGCCATTAGCCAGTATTATTTCAACTTTTTTTTATTTTTTTAGATAGCAGAATTCCCAGTGAAAACTACATTACCCATGATTCTGCAGAGAATCTACACCAATCAGAGAATATAAACAAGCAAATTGAGCCAAAAGAGCACTTTTAGCACCCATCATTTATTCCCATAAATCACTGTGAATGATGTAATAGTCTTCACTCTTAAACATGTGTATATAAGGGGTGTAATGACACATGTATTCGTTCCGAACCATGGTTTAGTTCATGCTGTCCGACAATGAATACAGTCAGTCATAGGCGATCAATCCAGAAGGGGGGCGCAGGAAAGTTTCAGGGTCTATAGATGCACTGAGGCATGTAGCAATAAAGCCACACCCCTGTATCTCTTGCTTCAAATTAAAGCAGTTTACGGTGAAATAATTTTAGAAACAAAATTGCTGCTAGTCTTTAGCTGCTAATTATTTATTATATTCATATTTGTATGAGTTATACACTTCAAAGTGTCGCGGTGGGAAGGGAGTAATCTTTGCAGGAGTGGACATGGAGGTTTTGATGTCTATCTAATATATAAAGCTTTTGAAATGTCAAAACTTATGTGTTTTCTTTTGAGCTCTTTGTTAAAGCATATAAATTATTAAATTCAGTCGACTTATTTGCATAGTCAGATATTTTCTTTCTGCTTCCTCCTCAAACTTTTGCTGCAGCAACAGTGTTTATACCTGCATTGTAAATGCATTTAAAAAGTCCTTATATTTTTAATAACGACATCTCTTAAAGGTGTTGGGTGTAATTTTTTTTGACTGTACTAAAACATAAAAACACCATAACACATTAGCAGATATTCAGGAAACATGCTAGGTTCACATACTTGTTTTTCTGAAAAACAATGCTACAGCCAGTTATTCTATTTTGAAAATGTGAATTCCGTGTCGGAATGTCTGTTTTTGTTTTGGTCTGTGTGATTCCGCCCACTGCCAGTTTACCCAATAATACAGCAACAGACCGGGCTGCAAGTTTGCAGAAAGCAGAGCATACCGCAGCCATGGAAGCGAGCAAACGAACTGGGTCAGAAATTGCAGATTCTAGTATTCTACCCAACCTAAAAAGCCTCGGCATCCATCTAAAAAGCTTTATGACCACAGGCATACTAAAACGCAGATAAATCAACTCATCAGTTTACAGTGCAAGGTTTGTTGCCTTCCAAGTCAGCTGCGCTTGTTCATGTTGTGTGTCCTCAATCTGACAACCAGTGTGGGCGTTGAGCAAGTGGCAACCTTCCGGTCTTTCTCTTGAAACCAACACGGAAGTGACTTAAACTGTAATTAATTGACTGGCTGCTAGAGACTGGCTCCAAAAGGGAGTCATTCCCCTAGACCCCCCCCGTTAAAATCCCAACTTTACAGCAGAAAAAAATGTGTACAGCCTGGTACAAAAAGTGGTTTTGGTCTATATAGCTGATTTTGCCCTTCATGACAACTGTGTGAGGGGGGTGAATTTTCATGCAACAGGCCACTGGTCGACCGGCTATAAATCGAAACCGGTTTGTAGTTTTATTTTGGTCGATCTCTATTTCAGAATTGCACACACTGCATTGCAATCATTTCCCAAAATGTAATATAAAAGTAGTGGTTATAAGCGCAGCTGCTTTGTTTACAGCGGCAACCAAGGAAACTCGGTATCACTGCTATTCCATAAGAGCCACCTGCTGTTAGAGAGTGAATTTGCATTTTCATTCTGTCCTGAACCGTGACTTCTGTGTACCAATACACCCCTAGTGTGTATATATGCATATTTTGCAATAGACCTAAAATATATTGCTTTATACACATAATCAATCAACATCTTTAAATCAAGTTTTTTTTATTTTATTGTGCCATTTGCAATGCTTCATGGGATTGCAGTTCTTTCCCTCATTTAAACAATTAACAGTCTTGGTTTTTGTCCATTTTTCCATGCACGTTTTTTCTTCAAATCAAAGTTTACAATGTTGTGATTCAAGTCGTAGCTGTTTGCTTTGGTTCATAGCTTATCATTCTTTCTTGAAGACTTTTGCTTTTACTTCTGAACCAGTCTGCTGAAAAAGTGGGTGAGCACTATTGCACTGAACAGAGAATCTGATGGCTCATTGGAAATTCAGTCACTGTGTTTTTGTCCCACCTTTAAGCCCAACTTGATGATTCATTGGGCGATCTCTCAATTGGGCAGGACCTTTCAACAAACTACCAAACAGTGGTTGACATATATGACTGGCAGCAATGTAGTACCCACAGATAAGACATACCAGTAATACAAGCTCTGCAGCCGGCACTCCAGTCACGTCACTTTTATTTACATAGCAATTTATAAAATAGATTGATTTAAAGCACGCAGCTTTACAGTATTAAAAAAAAACAAGTCTCACAGTGTCAGTCTCCCTTTCAGTTAGAATTACAACTTGATTTTCTGCTATAAAGCAGCTGTCCAGTGTGGAGCTAGCAAATGATAGAATCTTTTTTATTAGTGAATGCAAAAATAAAAAATAAATACAAATAAATGGTTTGCATAGATTACAGCTTGACCTAGCTCAGGACTGTTTAGATTACTATAACACTATAAGGTGTTTTAAGAGAAATCATTTATCTATTAGGTCTAGCACTTTATTTTGTTCCATATAGGAGACGTTGGGCAGAATGATGCATCATTCAGTCAGTTAATTACATCTTCATACAGTTAATTAGGGGGAAGTCGTGGCCTAATGGTTAGAGAGTCAGACTCGTAACCCAAAGGTTGCGTACCGGCAGGGATTGTAGGTGGGGGGAGTGAATGTACAGCACTCTCTCCCACCTTCAATACCACGACTGAGGCGCCCTTGAGCAAGGCCCCCAACTGCTCCCCGGGCTGGGGGCAACAAATGGCTGCCCATTGTGTGTGTGTTCACTGCTGTGTGTGTGCACTTTGGATGGGATAAATGCAGAGCACTAATTCCAAGTATGGGTCACTTTCACTTAATTAAATGGTGAATGAGAAAGTCTCTCTGTCATCTCATTTGGTGTGCCAAATATATTTATTATTATTATTATTATTATTTATATTTATTGTAATTGTACAATAGTAATATAATTATTTGACATTCACTTCAAAGCTGAAGTGATTACCTTGTTTTATTTATTAGTTAGAATACGTATAACTCATGTGATTATGTAAAAGCAGAATAATAGAACAAAGCCTACTGATTAATTGGCGAAATAATCGGTGATTAGACTAGTCGTCTCACTTTCAAGAAGATATTAAGATTTACATTATATTATATTGCCTACCTCATGTAACAAATAAGCAACTAAAACTTTTAATGCATGCTCACTTTTTGGTGTTTTTGTATAATTATGTTTTGTAGGAAAGATTGTTATGTGATGTTTAATTTTTCCCATTTATTTATTTTGAATGTAATTGTTTTTGTAATTGTCTCTCCGTCTCTCTTCTGAATTTTAATTGCCATGTATTGTTTGGCCATCCTTGAACCCCTGGCTCTTTTCCTTGGCATTTGTTTTTTCACTTTCATTCCCTAAATGTATCTTTAACAATAATACAAATAAATAAATAAATAAAAAGTCTAACACACCTAATGGAAAATTATTCATTTGCTCAAATTTGTTCATTTTAATGAACAAGTTAAAATAACCGATTTAATGATCGGCTTTTGCATTATCACTTTTAAGACATTTTAGTTTCCTTTGTATGGCAAATATCAATATCTGTTCCTATTCCGCTGAATTTTTGAAAAAGTCAACCTTGTCTAGTGATTGACTAATGCTTAGCCAATAGCAGTTTCGACTGAACCATTCAATCATTCATTTACAATCTCTAGGACATCTCTAGGATACTTAGGTCTCTTTTTCAGAACTCTTCACACAGTTCTTCCCACAGCAGTAAATTTTGCATCCAAAATCCATTAAAACTACCAAAGCACTTCATACACGATCAACTCACTCTTCCATAACAATAGCAAAGGTCATCACCCAACGAGCATTCTTTGTCACTCATAAAACAATGACCTAAAACACTGACGACAGGTAGCATTAAACAATGTTTCCTTTCTTCACAAAACAAGAATGACACTCTTTACTGTTAGAATTCACTGCAACATGTGACCCTGGACCACAAAACCAGTCACAAGGGTAAATTTTTTACGAAATTGCGATTTATAGATCACCTGAAAGCTGAATAAATAAGCATTTCATTGATGTATGGTTTGTTAGGATAGGACAATATTTGGCCGAGATACAACTATTTGAATATCTGGAATCTGAGGGTGCAAAAAAATCTAATTATTGAGAAAATCACCTTTAAAGTTGTCCAAATTAAGTTCTTAGCAATGCATATTAATAATCAAAAATTATGTTTTGATATATTTACAGTAGGACATTTACAAAATATCTTCATGGAACATGATATTTACTTAAAATCCCAATGATTTTTGGCATAAATGAAAAATCGATAATTTTGACCTACACAATGTATTTTTGGCTATTTTTACAAATATACCCGTGCTACTTATGACTGGTTTTGTGGTCCAGGGTCACATGTGTCACATGGGCCATGTTTACATCACAGAACAAAATTATTCCTAAATTGTCCCCTTTTGTAGACAGTAATAAAATCGAACAACGAACACGTGTAGGTTTTCAGCTACATCTAATTGTTTAAATAGTATTTCTTTTCTTTTTTTAAAATTTGGAATAGATTTAAATATAACTGTAGAAATGTTATTCCATTTTGTATAATGGTAGTTTTTGAACTTAAGTTTAAAAGTTTTGAAAAGAGTATTTAAATGTGTAAATTGGCCGGTAAGTACAGGTTTTGGTTGTGTTTGAGTGAGAAAAGCATTCATGTCATTTGAAAGATGCAGTCATTGAATGTATTCTAGACCAAAACAATGCTGCACTTCACACCGTGTGAAGGTTTGAAAAACCGACTCAAGTATTGAGAAACTGGACCTAGTGGTTCACTGGTAAAACAGACTATTTGCTTACACATGGAAAAAGTACTTGGTGTGAGCATGTGGAGTTAAATAAAATATTTTAACCAATATAATATGAAAGAATGCTTAACTATTCTTAAGTGATTTCTTTTATCGTCCTGTTTGTAATTTTTTATAGTTCTCACTACGATTGTACTCTTCCATCAGACTCTTCAGCTGACCAATAACAACCTTTGATCAGTAATGAAATGTAGTCGCGTTATGATAGGCTACATTTGTAAATTTATTACAAATAGACAAATTATCACAATTATCTAACAATTAGCATAACACAACAGTCCATGGACATTTAAGTATAAAAGTAAATGGTCCATGACAATATTTGTTGCGGCTATTGTTTGGCTGAGTGCGGCACTGAATGCTACATAACCCAGAGTCGATTAAACCGGTTACATCAATTCATTGTCAACATGTGCCAGACACCAAATTTGAGACCTTAATAAGAAAGATCAGTGATAAATAGCAATAGTGAAAGTAGTGCAAAAAGATCTCAAGCACTGGAAGAAAAGACTGAGGGCAAAACAATTATAAAGCTGTAAAACTATATACAAGTTGGAGTAAAAATCATATAAACGTTTCAACTGATGTTCTGACCTTTTTCGAGCATGCTTTCCCATTCATAAGAAACATTGTCCGGCTTCCTGGAGAGGCACTTCAGGAAAAAAAAAAAAACCAAGTTATTTAAAACCAAAGCTTCTGTTGATTATAAAACTAGCTGCCATTAGACTGCCTAATAAAACAACAGTTGGCTTTGATCAGGATTCCTTAAATAAGCTGCAGATAAAGTGACGGTGAAATGTTTGTGTTAGCAATCCCAGGTGTTAGCATTTGAAAGCAGGCAGCACTGCTGATGTTGGAGAAGCCTGGGCTTGGTTGGTACTTCATGACGTCAATAGGATAGTCTCTCTTTCACTGCTCAGACTGAGGTTTAAAGTAATCTTCTGTCCTAAATACACTGGGAAGCTCTTGATGTCTTTGTGATTGCCTTCGTGGGCTAGAAGGTTTCTGAAGACAAAGAAGAGGAAGTCAACATTTGTTACCAGTTTTAAGGTATGCCAAACAATATGGCAGACGTCTGTACAACCCCAACTCCAGAAAAGTTGGGACGTTTTGTAAAATGCAATAAAATCAAGAATCTGTGATTTGTTAATTATCTTTAACTTTTATTGAATTGACAAAAGCACAAAGAAAAGATTTCCAAAGTTTTCACAGACCAACTTAAATGCATTTTGTAAACATAAGCGAATTTTGATTTTGATGGCTGCAACACACTCCAAAAAAGTTGGGGGTGGGGCAGAGGCAAAATTAAAGTGAAGAGGTTATAGAATATCCCAATTAAACAGTTTTGAAACGGTTCACAGTAAGCAGGTGAATTGGTAATAGGAGAGGGGATCATTTTTGGCTACAAAAGGAACATCTCAGTCTTTGCAAGCAAAGCTGGATTATGGCTCATCACTCTGTGCCAAATTTCATGAGAAAAGTGTCAAAATAATATTCAGATTCAGGGAATCCAGAGAAATCTCTTTCCGTGTAGGGCAAAGACAGGAAGCCTCAGGTGAATGTGTGTGACCTTTGAGCCCTCAGATGGCATTGCATAAGAAACCGGCATGCTGCGGTGTTAAATATAGCAGCCCTCTACGGACACCTTGGCAATTGAAATAAACGTTTCAACTGATGTTCTGACCTTTTTCGAGCATGCTTTCCCATTCATAAGAAACATTGTCCGGCTTCCTGGAGAGGCACTTCAGGAAAAAAAAAAAAACCAAGTTATTTAAAACCAAAGCTTCTGTTGATTATAAAACTAGCTGCCATTAGACTGCCTAATAAAACAACAGTTGGCTTTGATCAGGATTCCTTAAATAAGCTGCAGATAAAGTGACGGTGAAATGTTTGTGTTAGCAATCCCAGGTGTTAGCATTTGAAAGCAGGCAGCACTGCTGATGTTGGAGAAGCCTGGGCTTGGTTGGTACTTCATGACGTCAATAGGATAGTCTCTCTTTCACTGCTCAGACTGAGGTTTAAAGTAATCTTCTGTCCTAAATACACTGGGAAGCTCTTGATGTCTTTGTGATTGCCTTCGTGGGCTAGAAGGTTTCTGAAGACAAAGAAGAGGAAGTCAACATTTGTTACCAGTTTTAAGGTATGCCAAACAATATGGCAGACGTCTGTACAACCCCAACTCCAGAAAAGTTGGGACGTTTTGTAAAATGCAATAAAATCAAGAATCTGTGATTTGTTAATTATCTTTAACTTTTATTGAATTGACAAAAGCACAAAGAAAAGATTTCCAAAGTTTTCACAGACCAACTTAAATGCATTTTGTAAACATAAGCGAATTTTGATTTTGATGGCTGCAACACACTCCAAAAAAGTTGGGGGTGGGGCAGAGGCAAAATTAAAGTGAAGAGGTTATAGAATATCCCAATTAAACAGTTTTGAAACGGTTCACAGTAAGCAGGTGAATTGGTAATAGGAGAGGGGATCATTTTTGGCTACAAAAGGAACATCTCAGTCTTTGCAAGCAAAGCTGGATTATGGCTCATCACTCTGTGCCAAATTTCATGAGAAAAGTGTCAAAATAATATTCAGATTCAGGGAATCCAGAGAAATCTCTTTCCGTGTAGGGCAAAGACAGGAAGCCTCAGGTGAATGTGTGTGACCTTTGAGCCCTCAGATGGCATTGCATAAGAAACCGGCATGCTGCGGTGTTAAATATAGCAGCCCTCTACGGACACCTTGGCAATTGAATCGCCATTGGCTAGTAAATTTTTTAGTTTACTCGCCAGACTGATTATATATATATATTTTTTTTCCACACACTCTTAACATCAGTCAGTCAAGCATTATAATATGATAATCAATATAATTTAATGATACTTTAGTAATTAGAATTAAACTTGATAACCATGTATGAATGCATATTAGTAATTTTAACTGAACTTCGGACTGGTGGTGGTGCTTTTTTGGTCATTCAGTGTTACTGTAAAAAAAATAAAACATTGGGAAAAAAAACTAACAAAAATACTGATAAGATAATAATGATACGAATTCTACTAATAAGAACAATATAAAATGCACTAAGAATTAATGAGCTACTGGATTCATGAATATTAATCAGGTTGTGTGCATTCGCTCAAACTGATTTGCTGAAATCTAAACAGGGACGATAACAGGTGCGTTGCACATCCATTCAGATGAACTGAAAAACAGCACAGAGAGTGAAACTCTGAAGCGTTCAGTCAAAGAGTGTTCAGCGAGTGAAAATATAACTGTGCTAAACTTATACTTAGTACCCAACTCACACAATGGAAAGTAAAATCTGAGAATTTATTAGCAATTGGCTAATATTAGACATTTAGTTGCCTAGAGTGAAGATTTAGTTGCATATGCGAGTGATTTACTCGCAATGTAGAGTGTTGTATAGCCACATGGGCTCGGGAGTACTTGAGAAAACCGCTGTCACTTAACACAGTCTGCTGCTGCATCAGTTAATGCAACCTGAATCTCTGTTACTGTAGGAGAAAGCAATAGGCTACATCAACTCTATACAGTGATGCCACAGGGCCTGAGCTGATCTCAGATAGTCAAAAAGACGTGCAAATGTGTGCTGTGGCCAGATGAGTCCACATTTCAACTTGTTTCTGGGAAAAATGGACGAAGACAAAAGGGACCATCCTGATTTTTACCAGCGACAGATGACAAAGCAAATGTCTGTCATGGTAAGGGGCTGCAGCAGAGCAAATGGCTTGGGTGACTGGCATATGTGCGATGGTACCATTTAGGCATATATTGGGATTGTACAAAGACATATACTGTCATCAAGATGACATCTTTCATGGGAAGTGCATGGTTATTAGATCAAGACAATGCCAGGTCTCATTCTGCATGTGCTACAACAATGTGGTTTCGTAGACACAGAGTGAATGTGCTAGACTGGCCTGCAGATCTGTCTCCTATTGAACATGTATGACCAGTCATGAAAAGGAGAATCAGAGAACAACGATCACAGACTGCCGAGCAGCTCAAGTCTTGAATTGGACAAACTAAATTTACAAACAAAAATTTAACTTTAATTGTAATTAAAAGGAAAGTTGATGTGGCAGTGTTAAACATGCCTCTGTCCCAGAGTGTGTTGAAGCCGTCAAAAATCAAAATTTGTTTATATTTACAAAATACAATTACGTAAATAAAGAGAATGAACAAATAACATTCTTGATTTTATGGCATTTCACAAAACGTCCCAACTTTTCTGGAATTGGGGTTTTATATATAAAGAGCTCACATTTAAGAAACCTGGTACGGCCATTGTGCGGAAGATCTTTTTGAAGGCGCCTGGGAGGGTCCCAACGTCACCTTCGACTTGAGTTACTTGTTCTTCCATTGCACTGACATTGACTCCAACCATTTTGACAAAGGCCTGAGAATCAGACAGCACACTTGAAACAACAACAACAAAAATGTCCATTTATCACCATGGTTTAAAGACAGCATTTAAAGTTATTACCTCCAATTTGTCAATTTTTCGGTAAATCTCTCTCATCTCTTCAGATTTTCTTTGTATCTGTGGTAAGTTCTCATTGACCACCTGTGAGGTGTCGTTTCGAATCTATTAAAAAAAATGTTATAAAAAGTTATCTAGAATACTCATCTATTTACAGATTTGTCAGTTAAACACTGATGGCCACAGTGCTTATTAAAGCAGGGGTTTAAGGAGGCAACAACAGGGTTCTAGGGGGAATATGTTTTTTAGGGCAGTCAAAGTTAACCGTAAAGCTGCTATGGAACAATCTTTATCATGGAAAATTACGGCTGCTACTCCACATTAACTTGCAAGAAACATTTTCCAATAGATTTTTTATTAAGCATGTTTTATATATTTATTATTTTTAGCTTTCTTTTTTTTATCACATTTTACATTGCACTGCATCACATTGCAATTTTTAATCAGAGAAAGGTTTATGCATCTACCATTATTCTTCTAGTGGATTTGGGATACTTGATACAAAGGTTGGTATTTCCCCAGATAATATTCCAGATTATGGCTTCAGTACAGTAAAAACATGCAAGCTAATTTTTGTATAATATCATGCCTTTTTCCACAATATAAATGGGTCTTTATATATTAAAATATATATCTGCCTATTCATTTTAGGCAGGGGAACTTGATTTTTAAACTCATATTGGATCGTAGTGGAAGTTTTATTTTTGCTTTATTTATATATTATAGCATTTATTAACATTTTAATGGAAATATTTTTATATTTCCAGTCTTCATTTTAATTTTAGTTTAAGTTTTAGTCATTTGTGCTTTAATCATTTTTTTTAGAATTTTAGTTTCTTAATATTTCTATTTAGCTTTATTTTTTTAAATTTAGTTCAGTAATTACACTAAATTGTAATTCTTCAACTTAAACATATTTTGTGTCAGTTAGTTGGCTAGGCAACATTTACACTTGATTTTATTTAAATGATTAATAAAAGTTTTAATTTTAGCTAACAATAACAACACTGCTTATTGGATACATGCTGAATTTAAAAATGTGCTTTGCATCGAGTACTTTCTTCACTAACTTGTTAAAACAACTTTAAAGAAGGTGGGGGGAAAAAAATAGAAAACACAACTCTGTAAACGCAAAGACATTAATCTTACCATATCAAGCATACCAACAAACTCATCGACTCTTGTAAGCATTTCCTCCAGGCTTTTCTCCAAGCACAGGACCTGCACAGCAAATACATAATAAGTGTAAAGAAAAATCACATGATATACTGTAAATATAATTGTGTGTACATGTGATATAAACATTTAGAAGGACAAACAGTTTCTTCACTTGCTACCTTGTAAAATAACAGAGGACCATAAAGATTAAAAAAAGCAGTCATGTGTCAGGAATTTAATATGATTCGGTCAGCAGCGCAGAGAACAAGTCAGTCTTTCTTTATCCCATATCACGCTCAACAAATTAGGCTTGATAAAGTAACTACACTGTGCTCCAACAGGATGAGTACACGGGTGTGTGGAAGAGACTTTGAGTTGGTCATCAAAAAGCTTACAGGGGCCTGTATATCAAAGCAGGATTCAGTTGTTAGCTTGCTTAAATTAAGCTTGATTAGATTTATCCACTTAATTGTGGATTATTGTGATGTTTTTATCAGCCGTTTAGACTCTCATTCTGACGCCACCCATTCACTGCAGAGGATCCACTGGTGAGCAAGTGATGTAAATTTCTCCAAATCTGTTCTGATGAACAAACAAACTCATCTTCATCTTGGATGACCTGACGATTAGTAAATATTCAGCAAATGTATATCTTTTGGTAAACTATTCCTTTAAGCCTGAATGGATTTTTTAGGTTTTGTCAAACTAAAACTAATCCTGAATTTGTTCTGCTTGCCTCAGGGCATTCTCCTGTAGAACTTTCTGGTGTAACCAAGAATTCATATTTCCATAAATTAAGAAATATAACCCTCAGATGGCCTGCAGATGTCACAAAGAACCCTCAGGGCAACATGACCTGCTTTTGGAGTGATTTTTGTTAGACAACCACTCCCAAGAAGAGTAACAGGGGTTTTGAGTTTCTTCACACTGTTCTCCATTCAATTCGTCACAATCAGTTTTGTACTCTTTTTCAGCCTGGTTAACTTAAACTTTCTTTTTTGACAGAGGCATGGCCAAACCCAGGTTCATGTTCTTCAACAGAGCAGGGGGCGCTAAAAATCACATGATTTTAATCCCATGAATTGAAACAACTGACTTCAATGATCTCTTTATATGAACGGACAACGTTCAGGTTCACATACTTTCTCAAACAAATATGGTTTAAATATACAGCGATATGGTATTATTTGTTTAACTTGATTCTCTTTATCTATACATACAGGACTCCGATCACAACTGTACTTCTACCAGAATCACCTTATTACAATTAGCATCATAAAAAGTGTTATTATGTGAGGAATCTGATATTATACTCATGGGAGTAACATACTGAAAGTCAACATGTCTAACGCACTCTAAATAAATAGAATCCAAAGTGACTTTCAAGGCATTCAAGCTATACAGTTCATCAGTTTATAATTAACTTAGACAAGCAGAGTGATACAAACAGTGAAACACTACCAACTCAATGTTTTTTGTTTTTTTTTGCATGTCCAGATGTGTTGGGGAAATGACACTCTCTGCAGGTTACATTGTTATGCCAGTAGGTGGAGACAATGGCTCTCATCCAAAGAAAATTGTGTGGATTACTCGTCTTCATACACACAGAAGACCTTATCACAAAAAGATTGAAAAAAATTTGACTTCTGCGTATGCGTGTTATCGGTTTCTACAATTTTTCATAAATTGATGAAACATTTTACTTCGCAAGTTATTGATGAATCATGATTTGTTTGTAAAAGTGTTCATATGCACATATGATGCACAAATTTGCGTGTACACACAAGTTAGTCAATAGGACCCACCGAACATGCCTTCTTCTGAGCTGAGCAGTATGTGCAAATTCACAGTATTCTAATGCTGCATTCGATTTGTACTCAGAAGTCAGAAATTCTGAGTTCTGGAATTTTACCAGTATGACTTTTTTAACTGGAATGTGGAATGACTATGAAACTTGGAAGAACCACAACAACCCCGAGTTGAGAACCCAATATGATGGCTCAGCGCATTAACAGAAGAGTAAGAGTAATAATATATTGTTTATTAGCACTCAATGAACTCAACCTCTATCTGTGAACATTTTTTACATTATTTTACCGAATTCCCTCCCCCTTAAAGTGAAAACCACTAGCCAAACAAAAACATACAAAGCAAATTTCATGAGTTTTTATTTTACTAACACGCAATGGCGAAACTCAAATTGGGAACTCCAAAAACTCCTTTTTAAGACGAGCCCCCAATTTCTGTTACGACCGCTAAGGGTCAGCCGTAACAGGAAAAGGAAGAGAGTCTCAATAACAGAGAGATGTTGAATAACAATAATTTATTTACAAATAAGGGTTTAGGGTCAGGGGCAGACAAGGCCAAAATAACAAACAAAAATTATTCTTTAACACTCTACACTTCTTAAATCAAAATTAGAGGTCGACTGACATGGGTTTTTCACTGGCCGATGCCGATATTTAGAAATCAGGGCAGCCGATGGCCGATAAATGATTTTGATTTTATGAGCACATTTTCTTTTTTTCTCCTTCATCTCATAAAAGTGAGTTTGAGTAAATGATTATTGCAGGGTACAAGATAGTAATAGTAGTAGTAGCCTAATTTAGTGTAATAATACATTGCACAAAACTTAAGCACCTTCTCAAAACGGTTGAAGCATGCTTTTTGTTTACGCTTGCTGACAGACACCAGTGTTTCCCACAGACTTGCAAATGCAAATTCGTTCTCTGCCAGCAGGAGGCGCTGTTGGAGCGGGAGATATAGTGGTTTCCCTGGTAACAGCTGTAATCAACTAAGCACTGCGCTCACAAACCCTATTTTATCAGGCATTACCCACCGAACATGCCTTCTTCTGAGCTGAGCAGTATGTGCAAATTCACAGTATTCTAATGCTGCATTCGATTTGTACTCAGAAGTCAGAAATTCTGAGTTCTGGAATTTTACCAGTATGACTTTTTTAACTGGAATGTGGAATGACTATGAAACTTGGAAGAACCACAACAACCCCGAGTTGAGAACCCAATATGATGGCTCAGCGCATTAACAGAAGAGTAAGAGTAATAATATATTGTTTATTAGCACTCAATGAACTCAACCTCTATCTGTGAACATTTTTTACATTATTTTACCGAATTCCCTCCCCCTTAAAGTGAAAACCACTAGCCAAACAAAAACATACAAAGCAAATTTCATGAGTTTTTATTTTACTAACACGCAATGGCGAAACTCAAATTGGGAACTCCAAAAACTCCTTTTTAAGACGAGCCCCCAATTTCTGTTACGACCGCTAAGGGTCAGCCGTAACAGGAAAAGGAAGAGAGTCTCAATAACAGAGAGATGTTGAATAACAATAATTTATTTACAAATAAGGGTTTAGGGTCAGGGGCAGACAAGGCCAAAATAACAAACAAAAATTATTCTTTAACACTCTACACTTCTTAAATCAAAATTAGAGGTCGACCGACATGGGTTTTTCACTGGCCGATGCCGATATTTAGAAATCAGGGCAGCCGATGGCCGATAAATGATTTTGATTTTATGAGTACATTTTCTTTTTTTCTCCTTCATCTCATAAAAGTGAGTTTGAGTAAATGATTATTGCAGGGTACAAGATAGTAATAGTAGTAGTAGCCTAATTTAGTGTAATAATACATTGCACAAAACTTAAGCACCTTCTCAAAACGGTTGAAGCATGCTTTTTGTTTACGCTTGCTGACAGACACCAGTGTTTCCCACAGACTTGCAAATGCAAATTCGTTCTCTGCCAGCAGGAGGCGCTGTTGGAGCGGGAGATATAGTGGTTTCCCTGGTAACAGCTGTAATCAACTAAGCACTGCGCTCACAAACCCTATTTTATCAGGCATTACAGGAAAGACGAAATTAAAATGACATTGAAGCTTTTCTGAAGACGGTCGGTTCTTTTCAAAGATACATTCATATAAAAACACCAGTGCTGCATTTTAATTTTGAAACGTGCCGTGCTCAGTTTATTCAACAAAGTAAAACTCAATGTATGGGAAACCCTGGACACTGCTATAATCAAATGGCCAAGTGATTACAAAAATAAAATAATTCACACATATTACACAGCCTGCTGCTCATAACTGCTTAAGCGTGCACTGGCCATGAGCGATGACATTGTGGATGCTATTGTTGGACCGTCACACACATTTCATGAGGAAAGTTAACGGGCACGTTATAATCAGCCCAGAAGTTTCGTCTGAACTGCATGTGTTTTTACTTTCACATGCAAATGACTTGTTGCAATTTCCGGCATCAATTCTAGTAGGATAAAACGTAATTACACTTTCGAAACAGTCTGTTTTGCCCTGCCATCATTAGCTGAAGTTGTGTGTGAACAAGAAGCGGCTGCAGAGTGTGAGTTGCTCCATCTCTCACGCAGCCAGAGAGAAATTCTCCGGCGTTCCGCAACAATGCTTAGCTGGCCCCAGATGCGCCTGCTTATAAATCGGCCTAATTTGCAACACAATCGGCCGATGTCGATTAATTAAAAAAAAAAAGCCAAAAATCGGCCAATCAATCGGTCGACCTCTAATCAAAATTAAAGAAAACAAAAGTACAGTTTCAACTTACCTGACTCCCTAAACCAAAAACAGTGTGAAAAGAGGTTTCAAAATAAAATGGTGTCTAACCCCCTACATCCCTCAATTTACCAAAACTTATTTACAAAAGATATATACACACACACACAAGTTAACAGCCAACAATTCACAATCGGAATCCAAAATCGTAGTCAATCAGGCGTGGGTCAAGTTAACAAAGGAATTAGTGATGTTAGGTTCTTGAACGAATCGTTCTTTTGAGCCGGTTCTCAGGAAGTAACCGGTTGAGCTGGTTCACAAATCAAACTGAATCGAACTTTAGTTCCAGGGTTGATGACGCAAGATGTACAGCCGAAGTAACACATATAACTCAAAAAGAACCGAATGAGCCGGTTCAACCAACTGTCAAAGTTTGCCGAGGATTACCGAGGACTCAACAAGAACCGAATGAGCCGTGGCGAAGTTTGCCGAGGATTACTGAGGACTCAACAAGAACCGAATGAGCCGTGGCGAAGTTTGCCGAGGATTACCGAAGACTCAACAAGAACCGAATGAGCCGGTTCAACCAACTGTCGAAGCTTGCCGAGGATTACCGAAGACTCGACAAGAAGCGAATGAGCCGTGACGAAGTTTGCCGAGGATTGCCGAGGACTCAACAAGAACCGAATGAGCCGTGGCAAAGTTTGCCGAGGACTCAACAAGAACCGAATGAGCCGTGGCGAAGTTTGCCGAGGATTACTGAGGACTCAACAAGAACCGAATGAGCCGTGGCGAAGTTTGCCGAGGATTACTGAGGACTCAACAAGAACCGAATGAGCCGGTTCAACCAACTGTCAAAGTTTGCCGAGGATTACCGAGGACTCAACAAGAACCGAATGAGCCG